GGCGCAAAGCAGAGCCAAGCCTCAGAGCGCGTGGGCAGCGGACAGTCATGTCCGCTGCCCACGTGTTCCGCCGCTTTGCTTCCTCTCCCTGGTCTGCTGGAGACCAGGGAGAGGAACCCCGTTCGTAACATAAGTCGGATCCGCGTAACTCGGGGACTGCCTGTAGTGGAGTCATTCTATATAACAACATTCTGCCTCTGTTTCCCTCCACTGAGGCTTTTTCCTCTAAAAAAATGTAACTTTAAGAAAACATTACATGCACTTTCCTTGGAATTATGAACATATTTTAAGCAGTTTGATATTTACTGTAGTTTATTAATTAATGTCAGCGTGTCCCGTGCTGGTGTATTATATATTAATATTTTATTTGAACTTCCATGTCTGAAAATACTTCTAAAACTTTTGCTTAGATTAAGTCAACATTGTCTTAATAGCTTTTAATTAAGGGCTTACCTGTGTTCTCAGTTAATTCTGTATTAGATTTTCAATACTTCTCACTTTTGTCTATAAAGCATTTTAAGAAACAGAAGAGGTTGATTCCTGAAAGGACAGTTTGGAAGTACTTTGTTCAGCTGTGCAGTGCATTGGACCATATGCATTCGCGTCGTGTCATGCATAGAGGTAACATAGGATCATAGATATTGCTTTTTAACAAGTTTTAAATATATGAAAAAACTCTGCATGCTCAGTACAAATGATATCAAATAAGATTTTAAAAGAATCAATTTTGACAAGTAGCTAATACAATGTTACTGTAGGTCTTTTATAAAGAACTTAAAAAGAGAGAGGATTTCTTTTTAAAAGATATAGGATACTGCTGGGGGAATTGTGCACCTTTTTTTTTTTAAATTGGCACACTATTTGAAATTCTGAGTTCTACATATTTTATTTGTCAAATCATCACAATATTATTATGCCACTTTCATTTCGTTTAGTAATTTATTTCAAAATGCACATCAGCAAGTATGTTTAACAATACAGATGACGAAAACAATGAGGAGGTTTTTTGACGAAGGTATTTCTTACTAGGCATATTAACGTAGAAATTTGAGTAATCATTTGTTTAAATTACACTACGGAATTGTAGTTGACACACCCTTCAGAAGCAATGCAAAGTCTTTGCTGGAGTGAGAAGAAAAAGAGGAGCTGAGAGAGAAGTGATTGTTGGGAAGGAGCTTGCAAGTGAACCTGCAGGGCTATTGGGTGTGGGTGGGAGAAGTATGGAAAAGATTTTTTGAAGGGAAGCGGATTGTTGGGGATCCTTCTCCATACTGATCCCTAGCCTCTCCCATTCAGTCAGGCACATCTGTACCTGTCACCATGTCCCTGCACTCCCCTTTTTGCATGTCTCTGGCCCCCACTCAGCTACACTGCCCCTCTCATCCCCGTCTGACTCCACATTCCCCTCATCCTGTTTCCAAGTGGCCCTCCTGTTTAGCCCCTGACTTAATGCTGTCAACCCAATACCTCCTATGCCTCCCACTAACCTGTCTGAACCCCAGTCTGTGGCCCCCACAGCAGCTGCATGCAACCTGCTTAGTCTGTTTCCTCCCCCGTCCTGTGTCCCTTCCCCTGGCCCTAAGGGTGCTGCTACTGCCCCTCTCCCAATCTTTGTTTGCCCTCTCTTCTGCCACCATAGCATCCCCTGATGTGCTGCAGCAGAATGTATATTCTGCTGAGAAAAATCTGCTGGGGATGTGAATTCTGCATGTGCGCAGAAGGTTGGTTTGACTACAGACATCCTTTGCTAAGCTATGGATTTGTCTATCTCAGGCAAATTGCTAATAATGTCTGGTTATCAATATAAGTGATGGGACTATAGGTGCCAGAAACCTCTCCTTCCCCAGTTCCCTATTCCACTTGTTGGCACCTATTCTCCATCCTAGCTCTCAGTGTCCTTGCTCCTTCCACCCTGCCAAGTCTCCCTAGCTATTCACCTCTCCTTACCAGCCAACACTTCACACACATATGTACCTTCTTCTGTATGTTCCTGTGCAGTCATACTTAGCTGTCTCCCTGTAGCCATTGGCCTACACTCTCCTCTACTGCTTCCAATCCTCTTCCCCAGTCGTGTACTCCTGCAGCTTCCAGCTCCCCTGAGCCTCTCCTACCCTTGTTAATTCATTTTATTGTCCTGTGTGGACCTGGAGGAGAACAGGTCTAGACTGCTTTTGTCCTTCGAAGTTGTCTTGGTGACTGCAGAAAACAAGTGATACATGAACTACTTTACCTCTAATTTAATCTGAAATTATTCCCTCATAGACCTGACATTTCGTATCGCCATCTATTGTAGGGTCTCCTAGGTCAGGGAAAAAACTAAGTCCTCCTATCCACCTCTTCAGTAGACAAACCACACTTGAATCCAACAGTCCCTAATTACCAGCCACACAGTTGCTGTTCTTGTGATCTTCTTTCATACACACGCATGTGTGAAATGCTGAAAATCTGAGTGAGTGCATGTGTAGAGAGGAGAGCTCATAAAGGACAAAGATGTCTTAGGGAAATCATTTTTGAAAGGAGGGCCACTTCATGAATTTCAGAAGTGGTCACATGCTGCACTGGAAAGGCAGGGCCAGGAGACTGGCCGGGGGTGTGGAAGCACGTGAAGTCTGTGCCTGCCCCCCTGTCAGAGGGGCACGTTCCTAGAAAGAACCACCAACCGTTTTGAACAGCTGGTGGTACCCTCTGGTGCTGCATGCCCCTGCTGGGAAGAGGAGACTTTGCGAGCTCTCTGGAGCCCAGGTCTCGATTGGCCTCGGGGGTGGGGAGCAGCTGTGAGCCAGGTCAATGGGCTTGGCGGGCTGGATTCGGCTGCAGAGGCTGTCTTGCCCACCCTGTCTTAGGGGAATCTTAAGTAAGTTAAATGGTTTTGTCATTAACACCATCAAATACTAATTGAAAACATGCACATATTTACAGATCAAGATTTTTTTTTTTTTAAAAAAAGGGTGTTTATTGTTACGTTCATAAACTTGACCTGATTTTCAGAAGTTCTACTTGTGAACTGTTAAGCTGTTGATCTTGAGCTCAGTAATAGCTTAAAAAAAAAGAGGCAGGTCAAACTTATTTAGCAGACTAGTGTTAGGTACTTCTTAAAACATGCTGCTGTTGTCTGCAAAGGAAAGGATTAATATTTAGACTGAGTGTTGTTTGCAAAAGGCAAATGTTTGGAGTATGAATCATTATTTTCTTAGTTTCTTGTCTTTATTAGTCTAGTTCCACTGAAGAAGTTCGGATAGCTATTCCCCTCAGTAATATTTACTGTTCATGAAAATAAAATATTCTCTATTTGTATGTTACAGAACATGAAAGTTTTTTTTAAAGAAGACACAACAGAAGACTTTAAAAAGCCCATATAACAGTGGCTATTATCAGTATGTGCATGTTTTGTAGTTATAAAACTAAAAACCTCTTCTTTGTTGCTTTTTTATTTGTCGTTTTTCATTGTTCAGTTTTGTTATGGTGAATTAAGCACAACCAGTAAAAGTAACTTGAATTATAGCCACAAAAGTTAATTAGAATTTTAAAAACCCCAGATTCACTATTTTCAGTGCTTAAAAGATTTTTGAAAGAGCACTGTTGTTTGATTTGATTAACAAGTAAAATTACAAGTCTTATGTCATGTATTAATGATGATGCAGTAGGTTTTACTGCTAACATGTTACAAAATGTTTTTCTCTTCACAGATATAAAGCCAGCTAATGTTTTTATTACAGCTACAGGGGTAGTAAAGCTTGGAGATCTAGGACTTGGACGATTTTTCAGCTCCAAAACCACAGCTGCCCATTCTTTAGGTAAGAATATCATGCAAAATGATTTTGTTGCAAGGTAAAATAAAATAATTATTTTAATATGACTTAAGTTCTTTATATTGTCTTAACCCAACTGGTTTTGTTTTGCTTTTTTAAATTAAAATTTCCAGCCTCCTGGTCAAACCTTATTAAGTTGTAATGGTATCTGTTTCACACTCAGTTTCCTGTTTCTTTGCTCTTGGAGTACTTAATAAAAGATATGTGTTTAGCAAAAGTCTGTACCTATTGTGAACAGAACATTTTATAGGGGTGTCATAAAAAGTAAAACTAAAGAATGGATTTCAGCAGGGTTAAAGACTGCACTGACCCTTTAATCAACTGTGGAAAAAATACTGTAACTAAGTATGCAAAATAAATTTAATAAATGGAATGTAGAATACTTGTTGGTGACATATACTTTGAGAAACTATGAAATATAAAAGGTTAGATACTGCTAAATTAGATTTTGCTCATTTTGGAACAGAGCAAAACCAAATATTGTGACATTTTTAAAGCCAAGTAAATACATCGTCCTGTTTAAAAAGATTAAATACCAAAATTAGAGTGATTCAATATCACTTGACAAAAACATAGATGCATAGTATTTTGCCAGTTTGGGAGACATGCGTATGGAATACAGATATTAAATTACCTAATCTAGTTCTTCTAAACATAATGTAAAATAGCAAATAAAATTACCTTTTTTAAAGATACATTTTTTAAAAATTAAAGTATATCATGTTTTGATGCTCATTTTGTGAAGACACAGTAGGATTTTAATTTACCATCATGACCTGCACCCCATCTCCAATTTGTAGTGTCCAGAGAGAATCAGATGGGCACATCAGAATTTTGGATAGGAAACATTCTTTTAAGACTGTGTGAGGAAAATATTTTTGAGTTATCAGAGTAGAAAAGAACATCTAAAAATACCCAATATTTTATATAGAAATTGGATTGCTCGTATAGAGTAGCATTATATTCAGCATGGGTACGTCTAGACTGTGAGGAGCTATTGGAAAAAGAGGCACAAAATGAGCTGTGATACTTTTGTCAGAAGAGGTTTTTCCAAAATTTCGGGAAAAAAACACTCTTTTGAAAGTCCCCTTATTCCTTGTGGAATACAGGGGCTTCTGAAAGAGCATGTTTGCTCTTCTGTGGAAAAAAAGCAAACGCATTCCCTGGACATGGACGAGTTTTTTTTGGGATACCTCCAGATGTATCCTGAAAAAACCTCTGCAGTCTAGCTCTACCACAAAGGCATTTGCATCTTTTGTGTATCATTTGAGGAGATTATTTAAAATCTAAAATAGATGGAATAATGTTACTGAGAAAAATTATTCTAAGGCAGGCACAGAGGGCCAACAGATGATTTTTGTTTTTAAAGTATTGAGGGATAGTCTACAAACTGTTAAATCTTAATGTAAATGTTATATAGACATGTACCAGGGTAATCTAGATGGTGCTTGATCCTGTTGTGAGGGCAGGGGACTGGAGTTGATGAATTCTTGAGGTCCCTTACAGTTCTAATATTTTATGATTCGATAAAAGAGGAATATCTCCCAGTAGGTAATTTGTATTTAGAAAGGGAAATTGTTGTGGAAATGGATAACTAACTGATACATTGTATTAGGGGAGTGGTTCTTTTTACTCTGGGATAAAAAAGGAGTTACAAATATATTTGTTAATGCTATATGTGTGTACACGTGCTTGAAGCTGTGCATTGAAGCGTTCATGTTACAAATCCAAAGTCTTAAATTAGGGATTCAAAATCCTTTAGAGTCTCAGTTAATTAAATCCTAAACATCATGCAAAATCAATGGGAATCGCTGCTTAGATGTTATTGGCCATGTAAATTGAGAATTGCTTTAAAACTTTTACAACTGTTCTGTAAAAAGAGCTGCATACTCATGCCTGCCTAATCCTAAAAAAGCTGAGACTCCATATCACCTCATATAAAAAAAAATTGTAGGGCATCTTCTTACCAGACTTCCTGTTTCTTGACTTTGGATACAATTCAGAAACCTTCAAATCAAGATTAGGTAATATACTGTTTTACTGTAAAAAAAATATTGTAATATTTTCCTGCTATAATATGCTAAGGGCCTTTTCAAACAGTATTACAGTATTATTTCATATGGCTTGCCATGGTGTAGTCCCTGCTACTCCCTGTAAATAAAAAACAGTACATAAAACAGCAATATGAACAGGCTGTAGTGGGAACAAATTCTGTTGTACTCTATTTGCGGAACCAGTAATTCCTGATCAGTGTTCAGAAAAGGAATCATGCAGAGGAGGGAAAAATCAGTGATGGATGAAGAAGAGCTGGCCTTTTACTTTGAGTTATAAATCAAAAAGGTAGTAAAGACAAACTATTGTTTTAACTCTTATTTTTTTAGGTTCACCATTGGGGGGTGGTTGCAAGGTGCTTGAAGACTGAGCTAAGGGGTAAAAAAAAAATCTGAGTCCTCTTTCACAAACATAAGGATCAGCTGGAAAGGGAGGAAAGCTGAAAAAAGTGTGGTTGTTTTTTCAAGTGGATGCTGGGGTTTTGTTGGAAGGTGGGGAGTTCTGAATTTTCTTTCCATAATTCAGACTTTGCCAGGTTTCAGCTTCGGGAGACAAAATTTTATGGCTGACTTATAAACTCACAACAAAAATAAGACTGTATATTATAAATACTGATATCAACTTTATAATGTCTACTAATCACTAATTTATAATAATTTTTCCTAATATCCTTAATACAGTTCTTTTTTGTGATTTCTGAATTTGATTTCTCTTGGAACTTCTGATACTGGTTTCCCCAAACTGTCTTTTCATTCTGTTAAACATTTAAATTAGCCCAAAATTGCACCAGAGGAGCTGTGCTGCCAGGATTCCAACCTACACCTACATGCAAAATGAGCATGAACCATCAACAAGACAATACAGCGATCCTTGACCCTCCTTCTCCTCTTTGCACATTGATCTCAGAACTTACGATGCATCCTCTGTAGGTCCAGGAGTTGGGAACTCTGTGCTACAATGAACACATGCACACACACATCCTTTTCTGATGTGGGCAGGGCTAGATGGCATGAATGCATATAATCCTCAGACTAGCCCATAATTTGGCAGACTAACAATCTTAGTTTGTGGATGAGGCTAATGATTGGCAGAGCTTTCAGTTTGCCTCATTCTGAGGAGCAGCAGTTTTGAGCTAACTTAAATATTTAACAGAATGAAAGAACAGTTTGGGGAAACTAGTATCAGAAGTTCCAAGAGAAATGAAATTAAAAAATCATTAAAAAGGACTGTGTTAAGGATACTAGGAAAAATTATTATAAATAAGTGCTTACTAGACATTATGAAGTTTATATCAGTGTTCTTGGTGATAGCCTTTTTTGTGGTTGCTTCCCACTCCCTCTGTCCTCCACATGAAATATATTAAAATTCTCTCCTGCACATTAAATATACTAAAATTATTCTTAGTTGTGTATTATAATTTCTGAATTTAAATTGCACTGCTTTCAGTTGCAGCTTCAAAAATATTCAAACGTAAAAAAAAATTTTTTTTAAACAAATGTCAGTAGCTAGAGAGGCCTGGCCAAACTTAGTTAATGGAATTATTAACTCTTAGGGAAAGGTTTTCTGTTCAGTGTGTACTGAGTTTAACTTTAGAAATTCTTCCTTTTGGTAGAAGTCTGGTTATAACTCAAACTCAAATGTACTGCCCCTGGGTTGTTTAGAAGGGATGAATGTCTTTCCTCTATAACAGATCATATGACCCTCATTAGAAGCAAAGTATTGGCCTGAGTTTTGGTTCCCTGCATGCCAGTACATGGCTCTACATATAGATAGACTATAGCCTGTAGTCATGTTGTGGTTCCAACTCAGATTTATATGTGCCTATTCCCTTTCTCTCTTGAATTATTATAAAGAAATCTACACTTTTAATTTAAATCTAGTAATGGTGTTGGTGGCAGCCCATAGAGTTAGGAAAATAGTTAGAATTCAATAGAAAAGCAAAGAAGAAGAGAAGAAACTTTGCTAGGTTGCAGCTTTGCTCCTGATATGCAGTAGGCTATCTGACAACCTGTACACACATGGCCATAGATCGCTTTCTGGGGGCAGGGAGGAAGATCTGAAAGGTCTCCAAACCTACCAAACCTCTGCGTGCACTGAAAGCATAGAGACATTTGCATTGAGACGTAGATATGCCTCAGTGACCTGAGCACCCTTTAACTTTGATTTCCATGGTGTCAAAGCATGAGGAGCTATACTGCCAGGGTTCCAACGGACATCTGGATGTCTTATGCAAAAATGAGTATGAACCATCAACAAGATAATACAGCTACCCTTGACCCTTCTCTTCCTCCTTACACATTAATCTCAGGACCTATGATGCATCCTCTGTAGATCCAGGAGTTCGAAAAACTGTGCTACAACTGTGGAAAAAATACTGTAACTAAGTATGCAAAATAAATTTAATAAATGGAATATAGAATGTAGAATACTTGTTGTTGACATACTCTGAGGAGCTATGAAATGTAAAAGGTTAGATACCGCTAAATTTGGAACAGAGCAAAACCAAATATTGTGATATTTTAAAGCCAAGTAAATACATCATCCTGTTTAAAAAGACATGGCCCCATACATCTCTTTAGTGATGTGGGCAGGGCTAGGTGGCATGAATGCATATAATCCCTCAGGCTACATGTACACTGTAGCCTTCTTGCAGAAAAGCTTATGCAAACGAAGCTCGGCATGGAATATCACCACGCTTCATTTACCTAATTAATGAACAGCCGTTTTTGCACGAGAGGCTTCTGTGCAAAAAAGAGCAGTGTAGATGGCTCCTTTTTGCGCAAAATCCCCCTCTTGCGCAAGAGGGAGTTTCTGCGCAAAAAGGAGCCGTCTCACCAGCTTTTTTTTGCGCAAAAGCCTCTCGTGCAAAAATGGCTGCTCGTTACTTATGAAAATGAAGCGCAGCGATAGTGCATGCCGAGTTTCATTTGCAT